GCAGCTTCCATGGATCTAGCAACATCTCTAGCCTTCTGAAGTGTGAGTTTACCACTGACAGCGAGTAGTTTCTTGCGAAGATCATGGGACCGACATTTATCAATTAACTGATCGCGTATTTGTTCTTCCTTGGATGTTCCGAAGTCGCAATTCTCGCTAAGCTGGAACAATCTGGTCACAAACTGGTCTGTTGTCTCGGACTCTTCCTGTTTTGCTTGACGGAACTGATGTCGTTCAAATGGGATGTTAACTTGTGGCAAAAAATGTGCGTCCAGTAGTCTCATAGCTTTCGCATACTGCGTTTCTTCTTCTGTGGCTGGTCCAGAGTCACTCAGCGTAACAAAAATGTCCTGAACATCCTGTCCAGCGTAATGCAAAAGTAAGGCTTGTTTTTGTGCGTCTTTTGTGATACCCTTGGCCTCGAGAAAAAACTCAAAAGAACGTTTCCATCGTCTCCCACGAGGTCCCACGCTTGTCGGATGGCCTGTGCAATCGAAAGGTTGTATGTTTCCAAATTCGATGTTCACGGCCATATTTGCTCTGCATATATCTGAAAATTTCCTGTTTATCCTTGTCGCCAATTGTAGAGTTTAATATGCGTATCTAAAGAACGGATTAAGACGGATTACACCGCGGTCCTTAACTCTCCGACTCCATACTCTCTTCTTCTCTTTCCTATCCTATAATAGTCTTTTATATATCCCGGCATACACTACAGGGAGGAGGGAAAGGGATATTGTTGTAGTGAATAAAAGTTGTCCACACGTGGGATTTTATGTGCCATGTGTTAAATAATTGGCTACTAGCCATCAACAGGTGACCAGTGTACAATGCAACATGGATTTTAATTATGCCATACTGTTAGCCCCTGTAGGTTTAGCAATATGCCACAATGTGATCTTTCAACTTGCATGAAACAGTGTTATAAACAATGAAGGATACTACATGTAAACTTAAGTTCGGTGAATAAATGATAAAGGTGAAATGTTCATTTTCCATGAACGTGGGACGAAGAAAAAATCAGGGTCCCCGACAGGAATCAAATCCATGACCTCCCTCCCCGATACCAGTTGTGTGCTTTACGGACTGAGATACTGAGCGACTCTTGGTGAGCAGGGACATTTACTAGCTTGATATGTGAACATTTGTACATTTCATCTTTATCAGCACTGTTATAACCATCTCGAATGGGATGTTTTCAAGTGTATTTAGTGATGTAAACATGATTTATTGTGGATATTTTGAGGTTCAGAAGTTGCGCTACTTTGATTTTGTCGTAGTGGCCCTAATGACTAATTGTATTAAAAGCATATCTGTTTAGGGATAGAACAGCTGATCCCAAACTATCTCTTTTTTGTACAGCTGACAGATTACCAGATCTCTTAATCTTCTGCACTGGGAAACTGTTCAGCCTGAAAGTGGACCCCTTCCAAATGCCAGTACCTGCCCCCAGGAACTCGAACTACTCTGCAAACATGAAATGTGTGAGGTTTTAAAGAAAGCTTAAACAAAGCTTTGGACATCCAAGTTAGTGGTTTTGGTATAGTGTAGTTTCGTGCCACTTAGTTGGCAGGTTCTCTTATAAGGAGACTACAATTTATTGTTGTGTTAAGTTCAAGACTTTGAAGAGCAATNCCGGGCCTAACTCTTATGTGATTGATGAACGGATTTTGCGTCAATCATACACATTTTAATTTACTCATTACCTGCAAACATTGGGTTGCTGTTCATTTTCCAAACAGTCCTGAACAAAAGACAAAATTTTTATGTATAGATCAATACCATGTCTATCACTGGCATCCATGGGATTTTTCGAAACTTTCAGCTGTTCATAGTCTACTTCATTCAATGAGCAATTAACTGGTGGAACTTCCCCGCCTTCCATTTTAGCACCATCCCACTGGTTGCACGGTAAGGGCCCATTCCAGTCAATTTCATAAGCCTCAATCTAAACATATTAAGCAGGAAAAGGTAAAAAGGTAATTGATAAGATGCCAACAGGAGAGTAATATTAATCAGCAGGTTTGTGGTAAACTTCTAAAAAGCAGACAGGGCTTCTCTAAATTGGTCCTTTTAATTTTTTAAAACATGTACTTTGTTTAATTGGCACATTTCCTAGAAAAATAACAAGTGTATATACTGGATGAAACATACAGCCTTTTTGAAAAATCAGTTTGTGAGAAAACAAGGTAAATTGGATGATATTGTTTATAGTGAACCCATTTTGTCCAACAAGTTTCTTTTAAAATTTGGGTCTGTTGCAGTTTGAAATAATTTCAATTCAATTACTCAGAAAATAGGAAAATGAAATTAGTTAGTACCTCTGAAAACAGTTTCTGGGCGACAGTTAGGTTGGAATGAGCCACACTATTTATTCCTAGCATCCACAACTGAAGTGGGGTGTGGCTTCCACTTGATGAGACGCCATGGTGGTTCCAAGCTGATTTATGCGCTTTTGAGTATTGTTATAGAAAAAGCGCAATATAAGTATTAAATATTATTATTATTATTATTATTATTATTATACAAAAATTCTGGAGTGCAGCATTGCACCGTGGTATAAAAATGAAATGAAGACAGAAGATATGGATCTCAATGTCTGGACTAAGCACCTCACAAACTTCCAGATGGTAGAAAAGGTTGTAAAATAGATATGTTACTTGATTATACATGTCCCTCCAAAGTCTCTCTATCCTTTGGTTGTGCACACTCTGCCCTGCTATCATGCTGCTTCTGCTGGGACCTCGCTCAGGGTGGGAAAACATGAACAGTGACAGACCAACATTTTCCCCACCCTTGTCCTTTCGTACCCTTGAGGGTAGACAATACTTTGAAATAGCCTCTTGGAAAAGATCTAGCACTGTCTCAGATTTATTGTCATTTGAACATTTCAGGTAGACAATTGTTCGAGAAAAACTATCCATCCCTCGTTGAACAACCGGTTTACCCCTATAAAATATAATAGACACCTTTCTTGTTGTACTGACAATGTTCGCCTTGGTTAAACAAAAGCTAGGGGGCTGTACAACCATAGTGTGAGAGGCAGATGCCATCAAAATGATCAAAATACTCTGCACTTAATAAGTTCTTGAAACATCAGAATAAACAGTTATTTGAAATTACTAGTACCCTACTGATTATTCCGCCAGCTTTAGAAAGTGGCAGTTATGACAAGGTTTTGTTCTGCAATAAAGGCTGATAGTTTCGAAAAAAACTGTTTGGGGCTGCGTCGGTGGGAGTAACGAAATAATTTGGATATATCAACAAAGTTGAAATGGTAAATTGGCCACCGTAACGATTACAAAAGCTGACGTTTCGAGCGTTAGCCCTTCGTCGGAGCGAATAGAGGAATTGTGGGTTGTGTGTGCTTTTAAAGGCAGAAAATGGAGCTACGTTATTGGTGGGAACATGGCAACGAGATGGGGAAAAAGAACTAGCGAAATACCTATGCTATAATTGTAGAGATTTGTTGCAAAAATTCTTCAAC